TCCCCTAACCTGTACTTATGACAGCTATTCCTATGCCCCAAGTGCAAGACCTTGCACTTGCCCACATTGAACGCCATCCTGTTGCCTCCTGCCCACTTCCATAGTCTGTCCAGATCCTTTTGGATCTGGAGTACCTGCTCCTCAGTTGTGGCCACTGCCCCAGTTTTAGTATTGTCGGCAAATTTGATCAGCAGACTGTTCACCCCTTCTTCCATGTCATTGATTACAACCTTCTCCCATGTCACTGATGATTTGGCCTTCATGTTTTCATAGCTGTAGTCTTAATTACTCATGTAGAGTTTTCCCATGTTTTATTATTTAATACATGGAGTTTTCTTTGTTATCGCACTTCTCTGCATGAGCTATTTCTTGTGTATGTGTGATCCCTCATTCCCAGAAGTTTGGAGGGGCCAGTCAATGATTTCTTTATCTTCCCAGGACCTCTCCGGAGTTTTCCAGCCATTGTTGCAACCTTTTTTTAGAGTGATGGCAATCTGATGTTTTCCTAAATGGAGCCTGATTTACTACAGAAACCTTGCGTTTTTTCACAATTCCACTCTATCCTGCAGCACCACCTAGAACTGTGTAACAGAACATATAAAAGCATAAAGGAAAACCCAGGGGGAAAAAAGGAAAGCCTCAGGTGAAAGATGCTTCAGTCCTCCCACAAGAAAATGGAAGAAACAACCTCAGTAAAACATCGGGTTCAGTGCTGATGCTGATGTGAAGAAGTCCATCACCTGCCTTTGAGCCCCAAACTTGGCATTATGCATACAACAACCTGGAAGCTAGAATCAGGTTAGGTTTGGCTACCCATGAATAAAACAAAACACAAGAAGAAGAGATATCAAGCTGACATAGCCCACATAGGAACAAACTGCAACCACGTTCTGTCTCACATAGGAACTGCCAGCCACATCTTTCCAACATGGTGGACGAAAGCTCTTCCCATTGTTGGCAGTTTGATTGGTCAGAACCCTTGTGGATGGAGGATCCCAAGAATATGATTGGCTAGAAATGACTTTGCTCAGCTGTGGTAGTCTAGGCAACCAGATTTATTTCAGAAGGTTTGTTTCAGATGCTGCTTCAAAGTCAACCCCAATGACGAGATGTCGAGCAAGGATGAGGAAAGGTGTGGCTGAGAAAGAGACTATTGTGGGAAGGGGAGAAGGGGGAAAGCATAGGAATGTCAGATGCAGGCTTCTCTTCCCTTGGTAAGGAGCCTAGTCAGTTGCCATTCCAGTCAATTAATTTATATTATGTAGAAAACACAGACAAGCCGGAATGGCCTCTCAAAACTCTAGCGGGTTTCCCAGATAACAGCACCATCAGTGACAGTGGGCACAGCATTGTTCCAGAGGACTGCAACCCCTCCCACCCCGATCAAGCTAGGTGGGCCACCAGTCCTTCCCTCAGGGTGGGTCCTTCTAACATCAACATCATGTTGTTATGAGCACATAGTACCAAATCAGACAAAACTCAGAGGATCAGGCTGAGTTTTCCCATGTTCTTAAACAGTCTGAGATGAGAAGCAAGCTTGAGGGAAAGGAAATTGGGCTCCAGTGAATTGTGTTAATTAAAACTTAATTAATTCATCAAAAAGTGAAGCTCAGAGAGAACAAGAAGCTTCAGCTTCAATGGTTCGTCATAAGGCAAAGCTTATGGGCAATTAAAACCCATCCTGAATTTCAAAGTACAAGTTTCATCTTCCAGGAGACAATGGGGTTCTGTCCTGAGCGCCAAAGAAAGTATGTGGTTTTCTACACACATTGAAATCCTGTCCTGAATTTCATAGTGCAGCACCTCAAAGGCAATGGCATCCCTTTAAAGTGATGGAGAGCTGGACTGAGAAGGACATGTCCTTTTCCATTACAGGATGCCAGGTTGTACCTCAACCAGGGCAAAGCAGGACACCCTAGTTCCTTGCCCGAGAAAGCAATGACCTAAGGCCCATCTCCCCCAAAATTGTTGGAGCATTCATACATACAAATGATCAGTGGCCATCTGATAATGTAAATTGAAGAGGGAGAATTGTGCACTATGTCACCTTGAAAACAATTCCTTTCTCTTGAAAAGAAAAAGAGCCATTGTTCAATATTGGTAGTTATGTGACAGGAGTTTAGTTTCGTTTCGTTTCGGTTCGTGTTTATTTGGTTTCTATGCCGCTCCACTAGCTATAGGGTGCCTAGGCAGCTTACATAATATTAGAATCCAGAAACAGCATAAAAACAGTACACAACATGACAACCACAATTACAAAAGACCAATAACAATAAAATGTATAAGCTATCAAAATAAGCTACCCGCTTCAAGGGCCTTTCAGCTGATTCAGTGGATAATTAGTCTAAATATATCTAAATACATACATTAAAATTAAATAGAACCAGAATAAACAAAATAGAAACAATAAAATAGAGAAAAGAATTCAAGTCCGGGCTCAATTCAAGGTGCTGATCATTACCTATAAAGCCCTTAACAGCTTAGGATCTGGATACCTAAAGGAACGCCTTCTTCCATATTTGCCCTCCCACCCCCTGAGATCAGCAGCAGAGGCCCTCCTCCGGGAGCCCTCCGTGAAAGACATTAGGAGAAAGAGTACCCGGAGGAAGGCCTTCTCTGCGGTGGCGCCCCACTTATGGAATGCGCTCCCCAGAGAGGTCCGCCTGGTGCCATCGTTATTTGTTTTTCGGTGCCAGGTTAAGACCTTTTAATTC